TTATGTCTGACATGAAGCTAAAGCTCTCTGTAGAACTCCTGTCAGAGGTCATCTCCATCATCTCTCCATCATCTATATTAATAAGTCTTTATCATCTACCTGCACTGTCTGCCAGCACACACCAACCACAATTGAACACAGAACAACTCACCCCTCCCCAGTCACCCCGCAGCCCCCTGCACAGGGACTGGCTGAGCTGTAGTGAGCCAGCGCCTTAAACCACCTACTGCCGAGGCAATTAAGAGTTTAACCTGGATGCAGCCTGGGGAATCCAGAGAGAGACTCCACTCGAATAGAGCAAGACTCCACAGAAAGACAGGCAGGCAGAGGGAAAAGTGAGGTAAGGATGTGTGAGAAATAGAAGACAAAGATCCTGTGAGAAGGGAAGGAATGGTTGGAAATTGACAGAGAGCAGGTAAAAGTAAGGGAAGAAAACATGTCTGAGTACACAGCTAGACTGGAGAATGGCTGGTGGAGGCAGAGAGAGTGAATCTCAGCACAGTGTACACAGCCCTCTCCTCCAAGAGAAGAAGGTCACCAGCTCTCTCTGAGGACTCCCTTAAATAAAGTCCCCCATCCTGCACTTTTCTGGGCAAACAACCTCCTCTGCTCTTTATTAACTAAATATGAGGGGACTTTGACCGGGGGACAAAAATTCAATATTTTTCCCCCACCAAATATTTAAACCAAGCAAATAAACACACAAATAAATAGATCTCCTCTGCCACGGGAGAGGGGGCCAGCCAGTCCCCTGGATGTAATTTGACGGCCCACTTACTTGGAAGGCCAGAGCATAGTGCTACTCAGACACTCATTTGAAGGGCTGTCAATCAAGGGGCAGCAATGTTGGCGTTGGGGATATGTGTGTATGTGTGTGTGTGTGCCACTGAGTGTTTGAGTGTGTGTTTAAAGAAGCTGGCCAGCAATTCATTCTCAAGGTTGGAACAGATAAGGTGAGCATCTCTCCTGTCAAATACATCACACCTTCCTGCTTCCTTTACTACCCTTTTTAACTATTCCTCGTCCCTCCTTATTCCCATCTCTCACCTCTTGTACATCTAATGACCTAATATTTGCAGTTTTGTCTTGTCTGCCTCCTCGAGAAACATTAATCAGAATGACAGAATTGAAATAGAAAAATTAAGTTTGAAGGCCAGTGTGCTCCTACTTCTATTTTTTTTTAACCCAAATAGTTCTGCCTGCTATTATTGACTTTGAATATTCTCTTCTTCATCATCATCAAGATTTTTCTTTCATCTTTTTTTAAAATCTATATATTTGTCTGACATTTGCTTGTTGTTTTGTTATGGTCAGTATCTTAAATATGACAAAAGCTGCAATACATGGCAGTATTTGAAAATAGACTGAATTAACTTAAAAATTGTCAATATGACATATTTGTCCTCAACTGCCTCGAAGTATGATGCATCTCTTGCAAGGTATTTATTGCCAGCTGTTCTTTTCATCTTGTGTTTTCATGTAAATGAAACTACCCTCTCTAGAAAAACAACATCACTGGTCATTTGCGCAAACAGCTTCAAACAATCTATATTAGTAGTTCGGGCCAAAGCTGTGTATTACAAGGTTCTTTGTAATACAGTGTACAGTGACTCAAAGGACGTTGTGAAAATTAATAGTTATAAAATGATGGTGCACAGTAGCTGCTTGCTGCTTGCTGCTTGCTCTAAACCCCGGAAAAAAAATGAAAGAAAAAAAAACGTGTATGTGTTCGTGTGTGTGTGTTTGCACGTGTGTGTTTGCATGTGTGTGTATGAGTGGGAGAGGGAGTGCGATATCAAAAAGTCCTTTCATCCATTTTAGATGAGATGCAGATGACTCAATTATACTTGGCCTGACATCAAGACCACTTGGCGGAGAAGCTGCTAACGCTGGAAAACGATCTATTTAATCCCACTGATATGAATGGCATGGTGCTAACAGGGCTCACAGCGACAAGAGAGGGAGACAGGTATGAGTGGAGACGCTTTGGTACCACTCTGGAGAAACAGGCCTCAGTGCGTGCTGCGGTGAGACAGTGAGGAGGGGGATGATGTGTCTGCAATGATGCTACGTGCGATATTTTCGTTTATACCAAACATAATATTTGTCACTAGGTTCTGTCCGCAATAACCACTAACAAGAACTTAAGTTAGCTAAAGGTGAAGCTGAAATGATACTACTATTCCGGAGATAAAGCTGAGCACTGACAACCAAAACAGCTCTGGACTGGTGCCCTAAAAGAATCCAGGTGATTGCAAATAAATGCATCGCATAGCGGAACAGGCACTTTAGTCTATAAATACTTTTGATCTTCTTGCTTCTTGAGTGATACTATAACTTTGAACAGTGAGTGAAAAACTTAACCAGAGGTGTACAGGAAGACTCGGGTAAAGATGAGGCATGAAAGGAAAAAATGGGTCATCCACTTCAGATTGAAAATGAGAGTGGAAGAACTAAAGAGATTGTGGTCCTGCAGGACAGATGATTTGAGGGGGCTGCTGGTCACTAGAGCCAGGGCCACGGCAACGACCCACAAACATGCTCTACATTAGATCAGACTGCTGTTTGATCTGCGAGGCCTCTCTCTCTCCCTCAAGACTGCCTCTGCACTTTTCATCTACACACAGATAAATACACACACATTCATCATGACATACCCTCTGTTCATCAGAGCTGCTCAGCTGCCAGGCCCCCGACTACATCAACATCAGCATCATGGCATACCCATCACTTCACTCTCATTCTAACACTAAGTGAACTGTGGCCTGGGAAGACGTCAGTGGTGATGAGACTTCTAAAAGAGAGGACAGGTGCTTTGCAGGATCAGATGCTTCGGATTTTAGCAGCTCCACTTTGCCTGGGTTTGGTCTGGTCACGACCTGAAAGGAGAGAGAAGAAAGGAAAGGAGACTTTAAAAATGAATACATTTACACTTTAGTACTTTCACTCTTTCACAGACCCAGCTATATCAATTGAACATCAGTAGGGACTTTACACTGGCATTTTATCTTGACCTTATTGAGTAACATTTTGTAACATGTAACATATAAATTCCATCACAAAATGCTCATTGATAAATCTAAATAAGATGGATATAATCAGGAAAATGATAGAGGGTGATAAAGTCAAAGTCATAATTTACAGTGACAGTCTTTTCATGTGCTGCCTTGTATTTATGCTGATGTGAATCTTCTCCAGCCCGCCTTTTTTATGACCTTTAGTGCAATTAACAGTTGCAAAACATTAGGGCTTGTGTTGCTTCACATGTAGTCAATCAAGTCAGTGTTTTGTCGCTGTTGAGTGGTGTTTGTCTGTGTTGGTGACAAATGAGCATGGCCCTTCCCACTGCTGACAGCCGCCCCAGAGCTGCGATACTATCTTCAGCTCTTCAGCCTGCTTCTACAATTACTACTGCTTCTCTGGCCCCAGGGCTTCCAACCACAGCCAGCACCCTGGAACCTTGGACACACACACAAACACACTGGGTCAGATACATTACACACATCTATTTCTTTGTACAGGCTCACGTCCAGTCCTTTTTACGCATGTATTCATTCTTGAACATACATTTTTAGCATGCATTGCACATGTACTGATAATGCACAAAGCCTCATCCAAACAGACTGACTTGTTCGGAGGGTAATCTAAACAGATCATGGTTAAGGTCAGATTTCCTTAGTTCTTAATAGAAACAGTCCTTCGCAGACATTGGTAGAATAATTTAACTTATACACATATAGAAATATGTGTGTGTGTGTCTATATAATTGGATATAGAGACATCTTTAAATTTGAATTCAAACCCATTCCCTTATATCATTCAACTACACCACAATCAGTCCCAGCCATTCAAGCCACACACTGAAACATTTGACTGAGATATGACCCCAAACTGATACCTTTCCCAACCACACACCTGGTTATTTTATCTTTCCCTGCGCCTATTGTTGGCCTAATTGACGGTGGCTTGGCTGCTTGGCTGGCGGCTGACCCCGGTCAGAACAATGCATACCTGTGGCTCTTACCAGTGCTGTGTAATTGTCTCTTCAAGTGGTGACCTTTTTCAGTCGACCCCTGAGGGGAGAACGCTCCACACTCATCCATCACTCAGTCACTCAGCCACTACAGGAAGTAGTTAACATAAGCAACCTTTGGGATGGCGGCTTGTAAAAGGTGTGGAGTTGAGGTTTCAGTGTGGAATACAGAATATTAGCCATCACTTCGTTGCAGGGAATGACATCACTCAATCAATCAATTAATCCATCAATCAATCTGTTGTAGAAGATGTTTGCACTGCTACTCAAACCGTTTCCTTTGAGGTCTGAGTCAGAGGAAAACAGATAAAAATACCTGACACAAGTGCTTCCTTTTTTTGTCTGTAGAGAATTATTGGGCTTATTATCTTGTTATTCAAATGTTTTTTGTTATATTTAAGGTTCTGGATACAGTGCTGTGCTGAAACTAAATGGGACTTTTTTCACACTCTAAGCATCTTCAATATGATTTTTTAACTTCTTACTTATCAGGAAATACTGGTAGGACAACTGTGCATATAACGTGCATGCTCCTGTCAGTGAACTTCACCATTACACTCTCTCATTGCTGCCTTATTTGTCTTGTGGAATCCTGAGTATTTAGAAAGTGGCTGCTTCAAAGCTCAGTAACTCACCTTCAATCCAGTGGGAAGGCATTGACACACATGCCTGCATGGATTGGATTGGTTTAAAGGTCAAAAATATTAGTAAAACTACAGTCGATCGACATTTGAACCTCACACACACGAATGAAGAAACATGTGCACCATATTTGTTGTCTATTTGCAATTTTAAAAAATGAGAAGAATGGAGATCATTGGATAAAACACTGTTTTTTTTTATTTACTGCCATTCCTATTGCTTCAGACAGACAAGCTGTGGCGCAGGGAGCACAGAGTGATTCAAACAAGTCAAAGCTACTGCCAATCTACAAACAAATCTCTCTGACAACAACAAACAACAAAGGCGCAGCAAAAGAAGAAGCAAGAAGAACAGCGTTTGGCAACCATTAACATCTTGGAAAAAACTTCAGAAGTAAAAAAAGGAGTGCATTCTGCATTTTTAATAGTAAACAGCATCTCTACTTCATCATGAACTAGATAGAGAAAGAAATCAAACGAGGAGGGCTGCTACACTGCTTTGACGTCGGCCCCCTTTTCCACCCTTTTTAGCTTTTTTGAATGTGGATTTTGTCAGAAGTGCCGGATCTTTCTCTCACTCTCTAGATGGCCTGCAGCATTACAGGGGAATGTGGTGCTCTACACACTTTAAGAGTAATTAAAAGCGATTGAACAGCTGTAATTATGAGAAACGGCGGTTGTGTTCCGGGTCATTCTATCAATGCTGCCTTTCATCAGAGCAGTAGCAGAGGGGCCCTGCTGCTAGTCTCTGTTTCTCCATATGCACATCTTCAAGAACAAACAACTGGCAGGCTGCCTACAGGCTCACACACTATCACATTCGTACACACACGCCTTCATGTAGACATTTGGGAGAGTGATCGCTCTTATGCACGCACACGCACGCACACACACATACACGCACACACAGTTACACATTAATATGGCACAAGCACACCACTGCACCATAAACACTTAACAACACATTCTTCATGTACTCCATTGGATGACATTCATAACCATCCTCTTATAATCGTTCTTTGGTCTTTTCTGGCTCATTTCACTTCTTAACACAATAAAAGGGTTACACTATACACAAGTGAAGAATGCAATAGCCTGTGAGCAAAGTGAGTTTTCTTACCATTCTATACTGTATTATAACACTGTGTGACAAGTAGAAAGCATATATGTATGTACTGTACTATGACTACTGAGAATGAGAACAATCCACTGATAAAAGCATGTCTGGGTTACATGAGATTAGGTAACAAAGTACACTGAAATAATAAATAGTAACACAATGTTGTATGTTAACACTGAAATGCGGGTTCCATATATGTTTTGTTAGACCGTTGTGACACTAGTGGCTTGGTACTAAGCATTGCGTTTGTTAGCATGTTACTGAAGCACTATTCTTGTGTTGGTTTCCTTCCAGCCAATCCAAGTTGAGGTGACTGAGATGCTGGGGTCAGCTGGGGTAGTGGAGGGTGGAGTCGGGGGTGATGTAGATGGCCTAATCAAAAGGAAATCAATCTGGTCTGTCCCCTCAGCTAATGTGGGGATCATTCAGAAAAGCTGGTGGGTCATTTTTTTTCTTGCTTCCTTGTTTCCTCTATCCATCTTTACATCCTGTCAGAGAAAGAGAAGAAATGGACAGAGGTCAAATTTGATCAGATATTGTGACTGAACGTAAGATCTCATGTGAAGTTAACTTGTGTTTTAGATGCAGGTCAACAAAAGACTATAAATGTCTCCATGCAAAATCAGCAGGACCTAGGATTCATGCCAACAGGAAGACCAATTACACCCAATGTCATGTATTTGCCATTGCAAATAGCAACTCCAAGAAATTCCTCACAATTTTTACAAGGGTCTATGACACGACTTAGGTGCGCATATATAAAGTATGACAACATGTAATGTGTCTAGTTGTGCATGAAGTGACAAATCCATACCATTTTAAAAGCATGAGATTCCAAAGCTTAGAACTGAAACCAAAATACCAGTGTCTGTCAACGCCAATTAGAATTATTTATTTATTTTAACGTTGTCATTTGGTTTACTTAATCATTTGGACAATTTAACTAATATTAAATAACAACAACAGCATTGTTCACAGATGACCACAGCTGGGTAATGAATGAATAAGTGAATCCTCTGCAACTAGATCTATGCTGCATGAGATAGATACATGTATTCAGTGTGTACATAAACACATTTCAACATGTCAAATCTTACACTCACCTCCAGAGCAGTGACTCCACTCTGTTAATGATGTCAGCCAGATCAAAGGGCAGAGGCATGCTGGGGTCATCCACACCCCAGAAGGGCCGGTCCACTGGGGCCTCCTCGGGGGGCAATGTCTGGGCCAGACTTGAGTGGCACCTGAGGCGACAGCACACAGGAAACAAAAAAATCCCATTTACTCCTCTCTCCCGTTAAAGCACAAGTAGGTAGAGACTCATCACCAAAAGGCCACGTCTCACCCCACTCACAAAACTTTCTTCATGTTTTCATTTTTTATATTTATATTTGCATCCTACTACAGCTTGCCAAAACCAGGCTTTCACCTGAAAGTTTTATGAGATATGTTTACAAGTAAATACTAACAGTAACTAATACTTGTCAATGATGATGGAACTCTAGTAGACAAAGATAAACAGAGATCGTGGTTTTATCTACTCAATGAAGAGCAATTGAAGGGCGTAATTTCCAAAAAAAGTCAAGTTGTTTAGGCAATGATGTCTGTGTGTGAGCATGTGTGTGTTTTAAACTTGTTTTAAAAGCCAAAATCTCTATTGTGAGTTTGACCAGAAGGCAAGTTTTTTAACAGTTTTCTGCCTCCTTTTGTTTTCATGACTCACAGTAATACTTTGTCCAGGTAGAACCAGCAGGACAGGAGAATAAGTTTGTCTCTGTATGATCCACAAAAGAAACAGCATGCAGTTTTATTACAAATAAACAAAGAAATGTTTTTCTCTTCACTAGATATTGTTGAGGGCATTTAAATGATGTGTCTGTATGCAATTTGGTTTGAAACTACTGAAATACTTGGAAACTCCCAAGCCAGTAAAACTTGAACTGAATGGAGATGAGAAAAACAGAGATGTGACACATCAGTGAAGTGTTGCAACAGCATTAAGGTGATGGGAAACCATGATATCATGTGTCATGATTAATGCCCCATTCATCTTACAAACATACAGGCACACACTGCAGGATGCTTTCACAAGAACATCACTCTCTCTTGTTGCAATAATGACAGAGCAGTGAGAAATCCTGCCTCTTCATGTCACTGCGTGATTTTTGTATGATTAACAATCTGAGGTTAGTTGTAATTTCTACAGTGCTCGGAACCCCTACAGACCTTAGCCACATCTTTTGTTAGACCTGTGTAAATATTTACTGCTGTGACTCTGTGTTGCTCTCTGCTGTCATTGTAAATCTACCCTCCCTCTGCTTCTTGACAGATGAGGGTGACCTCTGACCTGGAGGTGCAAGAGGGAGAGATGGAGGATGGCATTTGTATGTTGCGTGTGTAGTGTGTCCTTGTGTGCTTGTGAATAGTGACCTAAGATTTCCTATCTACAGAAACGGGGTCAGTTATATTTTCCATTCAATCATTATGCCAGGGTCTGTCTTGTCATATCTCTTTACCCTATGCACACCCTAAAACCCCCCGAACAAACCCATAACACAGACAAATGCACACAGTCACCACCACCTTGTGGCTAGTGACTGAAGGAGGGGCCACAGAGAGCTGAACAGCAGGATATGAGGATCGGTTGTGGATGGGATGAGGGAATGTTCAAGTGTTAGGGGACAACCGAGGGCTGCCACAATTTGTGGTTATATATATTCACATGAGCCACTTAATGTTTAACTGGCCCTCTGCCTAAGTGCTGCATTTTGGTGCGGTTAGCCCTTTAAGGATCTCCTGCATTATGGTGGTGAGGAGCAGCATTAACATCCACTGTCCAATATATCTTCTGTGCTCTGGATCAGGGCCTGATAATAGCATCTGTTAACATGCACTAAGTACCATTATGTAGCACATCACTTCATAAATAATACGATTAGGCGACCTTGGGGCTTTGCGACGAGCCGTGTGTTTAAATGTTCTCATCATTTATTTAGGGTGCGAATTAAAGGAAGCACCACTTCAGAGAAGGAGGAGGAGGAAGAGGAGGAGGAGGGGGACATGGCTGGCATACGTATCTACAGAGTGTGCAAGTGCAAACTGACCCAGACAGCATGCACACACACACACAAACTGTGGTTCTGCTGACATCAGCTTGAGGACACCATAGACCAAGGGAACCCAGGCTTTTGATTTGGTGTGATTAAGTATTCATACTCCAGAGCTATGAGAGAAAACACTTGCTTCTTCTCTACTGCCCTGACTCATAATGAAAGGCTACATACAATAAAAAAAAAAAACTGAGTAGCTCACTTCAACAGAGATACTGCATTTATTTGACAACAGATTTTGCAGCATTAGCTTGCAAATAGAAGGTGCCAGGTTTACCAGAGATATAAAAGATATCGAGACCGGAAGACTATCAAAGATAATATACTGTAGGTAATTCAGCACGCACTTTTACACAGTCTATCACTGTTCACAGAGTACCGTCCCCTGACTGCTAAAATGGAACCAAACAAAAAGTCAATATCAAGCGAGGTGCTTTAAGCTCTCATGGGCTCTTGCTAGAAATTCTGTCTAAGCCACAGTGGCGTACAAACAAGGCTCACCAAAAGACTTTCCCATGGCAGAACAGTCCACCTTAAAGTTAAGGTCAAAGACAAAGAGGTGTGTATGTGCGTGTGAGGGTGTGGGTGGAGGAGGGAGAGGTTGTGTTTGTGAGTCCAGGCTGTTCCAATGGATTAACCCCAGACAGATATGGGCCTAACTATCCCATCTGGCGCTCGGTCAAGAGAGATTGGCAATACAATCACTCATTTCAATTTGCCCTGAAACCTTATAGCCTAGCAGGCCCCCGCTAAAATGGTATGCTAATGTGAAAGGTATCTAGCATTCTATCGCCTCAATTCTTCAGAGGCCTTTCCCTCCATGCAGCACAGTGCACTTGAACTGCGGCTGGGGTGGGAGCGCCACGGCCCTTGCTGCAATAAGGGCTGGAGCCCCCTTTGCGCTCAAACTAACCACTTTAGCTAAAGTGAGTGTTAATTATGGACAGGCAAAGCAGTCAATAAAAGGTTAATGTAAAAGTCAAAGGATAAATTCCTTTAAGCATTGCATCATTCCACCATCTCTGCGACCAACACACTGCTCGCAGGTCTCCTAATCAATACGTTTTACTGTAATGCGCTCCCCATCGATTTCCTCCCCCCCGCTCCTTGGTCCGAGCTCCATCACTTGGTTAAAGAAACGAAAGGCAGAAGGAGAGGTAGGGGGACGAGAGGGAGAGAAAAAGGGAGTAAATAAAATGATTAACCTCGGTTTCACTTTGTTGTTTCCCTCTTAGATGCTCTCTGAAAGGCTTGTTAGAAGAGTGCAGGGTGGTCCAATATCATCACTGCCATCAGCACCATCCCAATCAACAGCATCATCAGCCCACTCAATCTCTGGCCAGTGTGTAATTGTGTAGCAGTACACTCAACCAGGGCCATACATTAAAAGGCCCTCTGCTCTTAACAGGATGGAAATCCGCCTAATAGACAACATCAGTGCTTCCGACTCATGCAATTACACTGATAAATGCACAATTGTGTCAGGGCAAGTGAAAAAGTACCCAGAGAATGTAGATAGGAGACAACACTTATTGCATTATTTCTACAGAAGGTCATTTGTAATGACATGGGAATAGACAGCTTGGGCTGTTTGATTCGGTACATTCAGGACATGATTAGGCAATGGCAGATATCTTTTTAAAACTTGTGAGAACTTGAAGTTATATTTTTCCTACTTTTCATATTTGTATCATTAGCAACTAAAAGAAAAACACAAGCTTAGAGAACAGTATTAGAATGGGTGGTGTACCGAGATTCACGACCAAAGCGTGTGCCAAGCCCTACGCAACGTTCAAACTGGACATAAAAATAAGGCTTTTGTAAAGATACAATGAACATTAATCAATCATGTCATCGTGATTATGATCAAGGGAAACAGCATACCTCAGATCACCTGCTTCCCCATGCTTTGCCTGATGTTCATCTGACTAGGAGTTCTGTGCAGGTGTGAATTTTTATAGTTTTGGCAGCCTATGTGCCCGATAGCTGAGAATGCAATCAAACAAGTCATGAAAAAACAGGCATGTGTCTCATAAATCAGCCTGCCCCTGAAGGTAAGGCATGCAATCAAGTCCCAAGGAGTGAGAAGAAAGAAGTATATTATCCATCTACATTCTATATATACAATATTGTGTAAGAAATGAGTGATTAAGCACATCTGTCTTTGTATGTGATTTGATACGGTATAATGGCTAAGAGATATGGGCAGACAGTATTTATTCACGTGCTGTGTTTTGCAAGCTGCAAGGGCAACAGACAGTTTGTGAAATCTTTGGAATTACGAGAATTTCTCATCAACAGTGATGTGATCTTCCAAATCCTAATTATAGAAGATCTGACTAAACTAATAACACGCTGTTGTACCTTTCATGTTTCTATTAAACATATTGAGCAATCGGTTATGGAACAGGCTGTTAAAGGTAAATGAAAATCTGAATGTACCTGCATTTTTCTAACAAGAAAGAAAAAAAAAATCCAACATTTTTTTTTTCCATCTGCATCTGCATTTTCCTAGAAGATCAAGGCAATCTTGCACAAACCTGAGCTGTGATGCAGTGGTTCTAACCTTTTTTTGTGGTTTCTTTCTTTTGTGGTTTCTTTCACTGCTGTCTTTCCACTGACATCAATCTTTTCTTGGTATGAATCTTATCCTGAATCAAGATTTAAGTAAATCTATTAATGAGACAAGGATGAAAAAATGAACAACAAGATTATTCCCCAGGAATAACCTTGTTGAAATCTAAAGACTGTCTTCCATAAACAAAGCTTTGCAGTAGTCTTGGGGCGTCTAAGCCAAACACTGGACTTGAACTCAAAGGAATATTTCTGAGGAGACCTGAGAATGGCTGTCAACATGTTATCAAATTTGGTTACAGCAATTCTTTCAAGAAAAATTGGTGGAAACCTCCGACAAAAGGTTTGCTAGGCTTGCAGCTTAATGTGCAAGGAGACTCGAGGCTGCTACCACCAAAAGTACTGTATCCAAGTACTAATAATGGAAATGGGATATTTCAGCCTTTCATTTTAGCAAATTAGTAAAATATTACAAAAACCTTATTTTTGTGATGTAATTGTGGAACACTGTTGGTAAACTAATGAATAAAAGAAGAAACTAATCCATGTCAAAAAGATTC